ACCAGCAAGTCAGAAGAGGAAGTTTTCATTCATTTGTTTCTAATGGTTTGTCAGTAGACACAACGTTTTCAGTCGCTCGAGAGTTTTGAAGCTTTGAGTCCGCCATGGAGAGATGGATGATTCAAAACCCGACCCAGCATCAATCCCTTCATCATGATAACCTTTTATAGCCGAGCGATCTTCCTCAGCTAAACGGTTTAAAGCTTAGGATCAACCATTCAGCCCGTCTGCCAAGTTTACTGAGTCAAAGCGGAGCTCGTTTGAGACGCAGACTGAAAGTGAAAGAAGATCTGGACCTCACCTGAGAAGCCTCTGGATACTCATCAAACACCTTTACTTCCTGCCTGCTAGTCTCCAACACGAGCCATCTGGAACTGATCCGCAGTAATGACTCTTCTTCTGCACACACATATTGGATTCATAAAACATTTGCAGACACATTTTTAATGTTGTGAATCCTCCGAACAGAGCCGTTACTCTGACGGATCTCCTCACAAAACTCTGAGCTACGTCTTCTCATTTCACCGTTGTGACATCATCTCATCAAACGTATGCAGAAGCAGAATGGACGACAACGCCCGGGGAGCTACTGTTCTGATAGATCGCTGCAGTGAAACTAAAGAGTGTGGGGCAGAAAAAGAGGAGACGTTAGCATGCTAACTTACCCACAATGCCCTGAACCAGCTGCGACAAAATAACCAACATATAAGTTAAGATCTGGTGTTCTCTCTCTGGCCGTTGAAGTCGGTCGATTCAAAAATATTCCAGTAGAAAACAGACTTTGTGAGATGTGTGAGTTGGAGTCCAATTTTCTTTTGCATTGTACAAAATCTGATGATTTAAGAGAATCATTGTTTCATGAAGTAAAATCTGAAATATTGGGGCGGACAGATGTGCAGAAACTGGAATGGCTGTTTAAGTTTGATGTGTTCAAACTTGATTATTTTGTTTCAAAAGGTTGGAAAAGAAGACAGGATATTCTGTTTGATTGACTTCTTGCTTTCTCTATTTGTTTCTTGAGAATGAATATAGTTTACCTCGTGTACTCTGATCCGAGAACGTTTTTAATTTATGGTGTCATGTAAGAACATGTGATTTTTTTATTTTATTCAATGTGCGCAGAGGCGCTGCTCACCAACAGGCGAGGCAGGCCACTACTTTGGGCCCCAGACCAGTGGGGGGCCCTGAAAGGCTCACAAACTCAGCTCCGTCAGTCTGGAGCCCTCTTTAAAAACTATCACCTGCACGTCTTTAACGGGTTTGTTTGTTGCGATCATCTTTCAGAACACCAGAGTGCTGTTCAACATCCGGGTGGTGGGAGGGTCAGCGTTCTACAGCTACCTGTCACCTCAGGACGGCCGGCCGCTCTACCATCCTGCTGTGGACAGGTGAGGGTCCCTTTAAGTTTATTCTAAGACCTCTGATGTCACACACACATTCAGTAAGTCCAGCAGCTGTGAGAAGACGTTTGGGTTTGATATCGTTACAAATATTTCAGATTCAGTATTTCTTAATGAATGGTATCGTTTATAACCAGGTGTGATTAAGTCCAGGTTTTAATGTCAGACCTTTTTTTCATCCTTTAAACTGTAAAGGTGAGAGTTTTTATTTCCCAGCATCTCCTTTTCAGTGCTCTGATGTCTGATGGCGTTTCTCTTGCAGTTGTTTGTGTTTTCAAAGGAGCCTCGTTCAGAAAGTCTATTTGTGTGGTTTCTAAGAGCGGCTCATTCAACGGCCTGATGGAGCTTTCAATCTTTTGACACACTAATGTGCCACACGCTGTGTCCCTGGAAACGAATGTAATGATAAATATGATGATTCAGAAAAGAAAAGGAGCTGCTCTACAGTCAGAACAAACGTGTGTTAGTGTCCTTGTGAAGAGATCTGTGATACTGTGGTAAAATGTTTAGAAGGTCAATCAAATCAGTCCCCCGACTGTTCATCCCACACTCACATCCTTTCCCTGTGTCTGTATCTGGGCTCATTGACCGCTACATATAAATCCTAAAACTCTGCATATTTATGAACCTCTCGTCTTCTTCTTGACGCTGACCTGCCGACATGTGGAAGCTCGTTCTTGCTGCAGTTTGGATTCAAAATCTGAACTCCAGATCCACATCAGTTCTTCAGTTCCTGTCATGTGTCTGATGTCTCCGTCTAGTCATGCTGCATTATATACTGTGGTAGTGCTGACACCTAGTGGTCAAAAGGCATCACTGCAGGGCAGGATTTCTTCTTTTTTATGTGATGTTTACTTCAGTTCAGATCTTTATTGTCAAATTTGATTTGCAGCAGTGGACACAAAAACACAACAGATAAACAGACAGTGCAACACAACCTGATGAAATACAACCAAGAAATATAAAACTCACTGTTCGTTAAGAAGTTTCACTCAAATGGTATAAATGTATAAATATGATAAATATAAAGTGCAATAGCTCTGCTTGAAAGTGCAGTCAAGGATTTAAAGAAGTTTAAGAGCATTAATTGCACGAGGAACATATGAAATTGAAATCTGTTTGCCTTAGCCCTGGGCAGCCTGAACCTCCAACCTGAGGAGAGAAGAACAGATTCCTCTAAGAGAGGACGACAGTCAGAGCTGGACAAGATAGACTTTGCTTTCCTAACAACTTGTCTGTTCCAGATATCTGACAATGAAAGCTGCTGAGTGCCGATTGTTTTACTGGCTGTATTGACGATACTGCAAAGACGATTTTTGTTCTGAACAGAAAGGTTACCATACCATGGCATTAGCAATCAAAATAATTAGATATGGACAGAAGAGGTTGAACTTATCAGAAGGCTGCAGGACAGAAAACCTCAGGTTGTCCGGCAGCTTGTTCCACAGCTGAGGACCGAGGACCTGTACCAGAGGACCTGAGGGGGTCTGGATGCCTCATAAAGGACTAGAAGATCTAATGGATGCTCAGAGATGCACAGTAACTGTTCATGCACATTTCATCAATGAAAAGAAGTTCAAGTTTGTCTTAATGGAGGAGTGAGGTTGTGCAGATGCTCCTCCTCTTCCTCAAATGACCTCTGACCTCTGTGTATCTCTCAGAGCTCTGAAGCTGTGCGGCTCAGGAGGACCTCCACATGTGAAGCTCATCATCGAGTGGGAGCACAGGATCAAAGACTGGTCAGTTCACTTCTGTCTCAGACCGCCTTTTGTGTCGTCATGGTTACACCTTAAAGGTTTTTTCAAACGTCTCCGTGTTCACCACCTGCAGTCTGTTTGGAAACATCCACGAGGAGGTGGTGAAGGACGCGGACAGCGTGAGGAATCAGCAGCAGCAGCACGTGCAGGCGTACAGCTGCACGCTGGACGAGTGTTTCCAGCTGTACACCAAAGAGGAACAGGTCAGTTAAAACCCCGATCAGCTGATGATGTCATGTTCATATCGTTTCTGTAAAACATATTTTTTTAAGGTAAGCTACATCGTTAGAATCTACTTCAGAGTTTTTTCTCCTCAGGAGGTCGACACTGATGAGAAAAACTAAATCACTTCAGGGTTTGTTTATCCCAAGACTGATATCTGAGGTGACACCTTGCAGACAGCTCCCACCTGTCACTCAAAGAGGCCACGCCCTAATTCCACATCACTTTAACCCATTTTTGGATCATTATTTCTCCTAGATCGGCATTTTTCAGACCTTCTGTTTGTTGATGTTCATACATCAAGCTTTTTGACCTCCTTCACCTTCTGTTGGGAGTTAGTGATGTTGTTTCAAAATGTTGTTAGTGAAACAGTAAATGTTTAAAAATGGCGTTCTTTATGACCTTAAAATCAAACCAATCCAACAACAAGAATAAATCAGTAAGAGTGAGAGTAAGAGAGGACATGTTTTCATAAATATCAGGGTTATTTAGTATTTTATATCAAAGTCAATCAACAGTTAACACAGTTCAGGAGCGTTGGCTGCGTTACCTTGTGTCACCACTAGGTGGAGGTGCAGGCGTGAGGATGGAAAATACTCCTGATCATTATCCTCACTTATAACTCCAAACTTATAAATATTAACATCAGTGATGATGAATCCTGCAATCATAAAATTTGGATTTCTCTCAGGACTTTTTTTGTTAATTTATAAAATGAAGGAATAAAAAAAACTAAAAAAAAACTTCATTCAGTCAGGACATAGAATAGAGTAGAGTAGATCACACATCACTACAGGTGTATTTGTTTATTTGTTTATAAGGATTGTCATTAGTCTTCTTTGGGTCCAGGCGTTTGACAACAACAACACCCCCCCCCCCCATTTTCTTACTTCTTCTTCTTCTCTGCTTCTTAATAAACGGCCAAATAGAATATACAACAACTATCTCACAATGTACAGCTGAATCATGTCAATTAGTGTTATCAATATCGTCGGACAGGAAGTGATGCTTACCTGATAGTTGTCTTCACATGTATAACAGGGGACATGACCCTGCTAGAACACTAATCTGTTCTGTGGCGTTTCCTGCAGCTGGCCCCGGACGACGCCTGGAAGTGTCCTCACTGTAAGCAGCTGCAGCAGGGCGTGGTGAAGATGAGCCTGTGGACGCTGCCCGATATCCTCATCCTGCACCTGAAGCGCTTCAGACAGGTGGGCGAGCGCAGGAACAAGCTCACCACCTTCGTGCACTTCCCTCTGGCCGGCCTGGACATGACGCCTCACATGGTGAGCCGCGGCCACGCCTCCCATCAGCCCCCTCTGCAGCCGGGCTGGAAACAGTCCAGACGACCCGACCCGGCTCCTCCTGACTTCCTGTACGACCTGTACGCCGTGTGCAACCACCACGGAGGGATGCACGGCGGACATTACACAGGTCAGACTTTAAAACAGGATATGAAGCAGGATTTACGATTAGAGGGGTCTATGTCTGTGTTACACTGAATATTCTGACTACATTTTTGTCAAAACTGCAGCTCAGCTGATCTATTTTTTTTAAATCTATTTTTTTAAATCTATATTGTGGTATCTATCTACATTTTTGTCCATTAACACTGTAAATTTCCCCGTTGTTGGATAAATAAAGGATTATCTTATCTTTGGGGTCCAGTTCTGGTTTTCAGCTCTATAAGAGTGGGTCGCCACAGTAACAGACCTGCTCTGGTACGTGGCTGTGTTCACACTCAGACATCAAAGATATGAGAATATTTGAGTCCATTGTTGTTCTCTGTGCAGCGTTCTGCAGGAACTCGGTGGACGCTCAGTGGTACAGCTACGACGACAGCAGCGCCGAGCCGGTTCCTGAGGCGGAGGTGTGCACACGAGGAGCCTACATCCTCTTTTATCAGAGAAGAAACACCATCCCTCTCTGGTCTGCCAGCTCCTCGCTCACAGGTTGGTCCTTTTTTTAAAATGCTCTGAAGACGCTTCTCATGTTGAGAACAGAGTCTGACTCACATCCTTCAGACGTCATGCTCAAATAACGGGGGGGAATGTGGGAGGAGCTTTGAACCTTTTATATCTGCATGAATCTCTTTTTTCTGGATTCTGTTCCATCGTACACATTTGATTTTTCCCTGTGGAGGCAGGTTTGTTGTTCTGCTCTCGCTGTGGGCTCAGTAAAAACAATAGATATATAGATAATAAGTGTTTGAATCACCACAAGCCCTGCAGCTACTCAACTTTAGTCGCATGCAATTTGACACATTTTCAGACCAACTCTCAGAAATCATTTTATTGTTTTGAAACTTTAAATTATGTCCACAACTTTCCTCTTTTACGTTACATTAACGCCCACTGGACTTTAAAAATGTATCTTTCTTACATGCACTCTTTGAGTAGTTACACACACTAAGAATTTATTTCTCATAGTCCACTGCACAGCTCCTATTACACCTTTTGTACATTTTGTGTTTTTTATATTTTACATTTTACATTTTAAATTATATTTTATATATTGTAATATCTTATTCTGTATTATTTAAGTTGTTGCTAGTTCTGCTTTATTTCCTTGTTAATTGTTTAGCACCAATACACCAAGTCAAATTCCTCGTATGTGTAAATGTACTTGGCAATAAACCCAGATTCTGATTCTGATTTCATTTGTTTCAGGCTCCACCAGCTCGTCCACCTCTGACCACTGGCTGGTCCGTCTGACGGGGGGCAGCAAGCGGGGCAGTGTAGGGTCAGGAGGACCTGTTCCTGGACCTGCAGGTCCTCATCAGGCTCCGGAGTCTCCTGAGCTCCCTGTGTTTGGAGACGAGCCGACGAAAACACAAGAAACGAGTCAGTATCTGGAGAAGAGTCTTTATCTCACAGACATAAACATCTTAGAACAACTTAAGTTTGCTAGAATAACATCATGGTGCAGATTTGTAAAAACGTAAAAAGTTGAGCTTTGTCAGGTCCGTCTTCATGAGAAGAAATTTTATGTTTTGAGATTCCGTTGACTCAAACTTAAGCAGACAACAAACATTCTTGTCTAAGGCAAGGCAAGTTTATTTATGTAGCACATTTCAACAACAAGGCAATTCAAAGTGCTTCACATAAGACATCAAAAAGCATCATGACAGAGGAAAGAAAAGAAACATTAAAATAGAACATTAAAAATCACTGAAATTATTAAATCTGAAAATATGTTCAAATAAAAATAATTCAAATGAAATTAATTGAAATAAGTGAAGTAAAAATATAAAAAGAGTTAAAGGTTACAGTGCAGAGTAAAAGTTAAAAATCTTATTAAAGCTATTTAATTAAGGGGCGCGCTGGTGGCGCAGTGGTTAGGGCGCGCGTCCCATGTGTTGAGACTCTCGTCTCGAGCGGTAGGCCCGGTTTCACTTCCACCCATGGCCCCTTTCCACATGTCATTCCCCGCTCTCTCTCTCTGGTTTCTGACTCTATCCACTGTCCTCTCTCTCCCTGGTTTCTGACTCTATCCACTGTCCGCTCTCTCTCTCTGGTTTCTGACTCTATCCACTGTCCTCTCTCTCTCTGGTTTCTGACTCTATCCACTGTCCTCTCTCTCTCTGGTTTCAGACTCTATCCACTGTCCTCTCTCTCTCTGGTTTCTGACTCTATCCACTGTCCTCTCTCTCTCCTGGTTTCTGACTCTATCCACTGTCCTCTCTCTCTCCCTGGTTTCTGACTCTATCCACTGTCCTCTCTCTCTCTCTGGTTTCTGACTCTATCCACTGTCCTCTCTCTCTCTGGTTTCAGACTCTATCCACTGTCCTCTCTCTCTCTGGTTTCTGACTCTATCCACTGTCCTCTCTCTCTCTGGTTTCAGACTCTATCCACTGCCCTCTCTCTCTCTGGTTTCTGACTCTATCCACTGTCCTCTCTCTCTCTGGTTTCTGACTCTATCCACTGTCCTCTCTCTCTGGTTTCACTCTATCCACTGTCCTCTCTCTCTGGTTTCAGACTCTATCCACTGTCCTCTCTCTCTCTCTGGTTTCTGACTCTATCCACTGTCCTCTCTCTCTGGTTTCAGACTCTATCCACTGTCTCTCTCTCTCTGGTTTCAGACTCTATCCACTGTCCTCTCTCTCTCTGGTTTCTGACTCTATCCACTGTCCTCTCTCTCTCTGGTTTCAGACTCTATCCACTGTCCTCTCTCTCTCTGGTTTCAGACTCTATCCACTGTCCTCTCTCTCTCTGGTTTCAGACTCTATCCACTGTCCTCTCTCTCTCTGGTTTCAGACTCTATCCACTGTCCTCTCTCTCTCTGGTTTCAGACTCTATCCACTGTCCTCTCTCTCTCTGGTTTCAGACTCTATCCACTGTCCTCTCTCTCTGGTTTCAGACTCTATCCACTGTCCTCTCTCTCTCTGGTTTCAGACTCTATCCACTGTCCTCTCTCTCTCTGGTTTCTGACTCTATCCACTGTCCTCTCTCTCTGGTTTCAGACTCTATCCACTGTCCTCTCTCTCTGGTTTCAGACTCTATCCACTGTCTCTCTCTCTCTGGTTTCTGACTCTATCCACTGTCCTCTCTCTCTGGTTTCAGACTCTATCCACTGTCCTCTCTCTCTCTGGTTTCTGACTCTATCCACTGTCCTCTCTCTCTCTGGTTTCAGACTCTATCCACTGTCCTCTCTCTCTCTGGTTTCAGACTCTATCCACTGTCCTCTCTCTCCCTGGTTTCAGACTCTATCCACTGTCCTCTCTCTCTCTGGTTTCAGACTCTATCCACTGTCCTCTCTCTCTGGTTTCAGACTCTATCCACTGTCCTCTCTCTCTCTCTCTGGTTTCTGACTCTATCCACTGTCCTCTCTCTCTCTCTGGTTTCTGACTCTATCCACTGTCCTCTCTCTCTCTGGTTTCAGACTCTATCCACTGTCCTCTCTCTCTCTCTCTCTGGTTTCTGACTCTATCCACTGTCCTCTCTCTCTCTGGTTTCTGACTCTATCCACTGTCCTCTCTCTCTCTGGTTTCAGACTCTATCCACTGTCCTCTCTCTCTCTGGTTTCTGACTCTATCCACTGTCCTCTCTCTCTCTCTGGTTTCAGACTCTATCCACTGTCCTCTCTCTCTCTGGTTTCAGACTCTATCCACTGTCCTCTCTCTCTCTGGTTTCTGACTCTATCCACTGTCCTCTCTCTCTCTCTGGTTTCAGACTCTATCCACTGTCCTCTCTCTCTCTGGTTTCAGACTCTATCCACTGTCCTCTCTCTCTGGTTTCAGACTCTATCCACTGTCCTCTCTCTCTCTGGTTTCTGACTCTATCCACTGTCCTCTCTCTCTGGTTTCAGACTCTATCCACTGTCCTCTCTCTCTCTGGTTTCTGACTCTATCCACTGTCCTCTCTCTCTCTGGTTTCAGACTCTATCCACTGTCCTCTCTCTCTCCTGGTTTCAGACTCTATCCACTGTCCTCTCTCTCTCTGGTTTCAGACTCTATCCACTGTCCTCTCTCTCTCTCTCTGGTTTCAGACTCTATCCACTGTCCTCTCTCTCCTGGTTTCAGACTCTATCCACTGTCCTCTCTCTCTCTCTGGTTTCTGACTCTATCCACTGTCCTCTCTCTCTCTGGTTTCTGACTCTATCCACTGTCTCTCTCTCTCTGGTTTCAGACTCTATCCACTGTCCTCTCTCTCTCTCTCTCGGTTTCTGACTCTATCCACTGTCCTCTCTCTCTCTCTGGTTTCTGACTCTATCCACTGTCCTCTCTCTCTCTGGTTTCAGACTCTATCCACTGTCCTCTCTCTCTCTGGTTTCTGACTCTATCCACTGTCCTCTCTCTCTCTCTGGTTTCAGACTCTATCCACTGTCCTCTCTCTCTCTGGTTTCAGACTCTATCCACTGTCCTCTCTCTCTCTGGTTTCTGACTCTATCCACTGTCCTCTCTCTCTCTGGTTTCAGACTCTATCCACTGTCCTCTCTCTCTCTGGTTTCAGACTCTATCCACTGTCCTCTCTCTCTCTCTGGTTTCAGACTCTATCCACTGTCCTCTCTCTCTCTGGTTTCAGACTCTATCCACTGTCCTCTCTCTCTCTCTTGTTTCACTCTATCCACTGTCCTCTCTCTCTCTCTGGTTTCAGACTCTATCCACTGTCCTCTCTCTCTCTGGTTTCAGACTCTATCCACTGTCCTCTCTCTCTCTCTGGTTTCAGACTCTATCCACTGTCCTCTCTCTCTCTGGTTTCAGACTCTATCCACTGTCCTCTCTCTCTCTGGTTTCTGACTCTATCCACTGTCCTCTCTCTCTCTCTGGTTTCAGACTCTATCCACTGTCCTCTCTCTCTCTGGTTTCAGACTCTATCCACTGTCCTCTCTCTCTCTGGTTTCTGACTCTATCCACTGTCCTCTCTCTCTCTGGTTTCAGACTCTATCCACTGTCCTCTCTCTCTCTGGTTTCTGACTCTATCCACTGTCCTCTCTCTCTCTGGTTTCAGACTCTATCCACTGTCCTCTCTGGTTTCTGACTCTATCCACTGTCCTCTCTCTCTGGTTTCAGACTCTATCCACTGTCCTCTCTCTCTCTGGTTTCTGACTCTATCCACTGTCCTCTCTCTCTCTGGTTTCAGACTCTATCCACTGTCCTCTCTCTCTCTGGTTTCAGACTCTATCCACTGTCCTCTCTCTCTCTGGTTTCAGACTCTATCCACTGTCCTCTCTCTCTCTCTCTGGTTTCAGACTCTATCCACTGTCCTCTCTCTCTGGTTTCAGACTCTATCCACTGTCCTCTCTCTCTCTGGTTTCTGACTCTATCCACTGTCCTCTCTCTCTCTGGTTTCTGACTCTATCCACTGTCCTCTCTCTCTCTGGTTTCAGACTCTATCCACTGTCTCTCTCTCTCTCTGGTTTCTGACTCTATCCACTGTCCTCTCTCTCTCTCTGGTTTCTGACTCTATCCACTGTCCTCTCTCTCTCTGGTTTCAGACTCTATCCACTGTCCTCTCTCTCTCTGGTTTCTGACTCTATCCACTGTCCTCTCTCTCTCTGGTTTCAGACTCTATCCACTGTCCTCTCTCTCTCTGGTTTCAGACTCTATCCACTGTCCTCTCTCTCTCTGGTTTCTGACTCTATCCACTGTCCTCTCTCTCTCTGGTTTCAGACTCTATCCACTGTCCTCTCTCTCTCTGGTTTCAGACTCTATCCACTGTCCTCTCTCTCTCTCTGGTTTCAGACTCTATCCACTGTCCTCTCTCTCTCTGGTTTCAGACTCTATCCACTGTCCTCTCTCTCTCTCTGGTTTCAGACTCTATCCACTGTCCTCTCTCTCTCTGGTTTCAGACTCTATCCACTGTCCTCTCTCTCTCTGGTTTCAGACTCTATCCACTGTCCTCTCTCTCTCTCTGGTTTCAGACTCTATCCACTGTCCTCTCTCTCTCTGGTTTCAGACTCTATCCACTGTCCTCTCTCTTTCTGGTTTCAGACTCTATCCACTGTCCTCTCTTCTCTCTGGTTTCAGACTCTATCCACTGTCCTCTCTCTCTCTGGTTTCTGACTCTATCCACTGTCCTCTCTCTCTCTGGTTTCTGACTCTATCCACTGTCCTCTCTCTCTCTGGTTTCAGACTCTATCCACTGTCCTCTCTCTCTCTGGTTTCAGACTCTATCCACTGTCCTCTCTCTCTCTGGTTTCTGACTCTATCCACTGTCCTCTCTCTCTCTGGTTTCTGACTCTATCCACTGTCCTCTCTCTCTCTGGTTTCAGTCTCTCTCCACTGTCCTCTCTCTCTCTGGTTTCTGACTCTATCCACTGTCCTCTCTCTCTCTGGTTTCAGACTCTATCCACTGTCCTCTCTCTCTCTGGTTTCAGACTCTATCCACTGTCCTCTCTCTCT